GGCTTGTGTTATGGTGCAATGGGTTAAGCTACCTCCTGCAACACCAGCGTCCCACATGGGCACCAATTCGAGTCCTGGCCACCCCACTTCCAATCCAGTTCCCTGCTAATGTGCCTGGGAAAGCAATGGAAGATGGCTCAAGTCTTTGGGCCCCTGCACACACATGGGGGACCAGGATGGAGTTCCTGGCCTGTGGCTTCAGCTTGGCCTAGTCCCAGCCATTGTGGCCATTTGGGGAGTGAACCAGCAGGTAGAAGAGTCTCTCTCTCTAATAAATAAATCTTTTTTTTTTTTTAAAGAATCTTGTAGTCACTCTAGAGCCTGGACAGTAGTCTAGGCTAAGTTGCCTAGGGCAGCAGGCATTTTTTTTTCCCTAAAGCAATTTCATGGTATATAGTCAGATTTTTCTCCTTTTACAATGAATCAAGTAGTGGGAAATTTACCAGGGAGTTTTCCTGCCAATGACATTTTCCCAAGGAAGATTGAAGAAGCAGGAAAAGCATGCCAGCTGGAAAGTACAACAGCTCTAAAATCTTTTTCTCTTTGGAGAAAAATTGATGGCAAAAGAAAAATTTTAATTTTAGGCTTTTGAGCATAAATGTGAGGTCCTCAGTTGGCTCACAAGGGTAGGCAGAATTGTCCTGAGTGTGCCAATGAACACTCAAGGGGTAGAGGTTTAATTTTTTTTAAGGTTTATTTATTTATTTGTTTATTTGAAAGGCAGAGTTACAGAGAGGCAGAAGCAGAGAGAGAGAGAGGTCTTCCATCTGCTGGTCACTCCCCAAATGGCCGCAACGGCTGGAGCTGTGCTGATCTGAAGCCAGGAGCCAGGAGCTTCTTGTGAGTCTCCCACACGGGTGAAGGGGCCCAAGCACTTAAGCCTTCTTCTACTGCCTTCCCAGGCCACAGCAGAGAGCTGGATTGGAAGTGGAGCAGCCAGGATCTGAACCGGCGCCCATATGTGGGTGGCCAGCACTGCAGGCATCAGCTTTACCCACTATGCCACAGTGCCAGCCCCGAGGTTTAATTCTTGACAGATGTACCCTGTTGGAAATCTGTAATTTAACTGCAGTAAGAGTACTTAGTAGCATCTAATGTTGGGCATGGGCTTGACATCTACTTCCATGGTGACACAACTCTTTGAGGATAGTATTCCTGTGTGGAAATTCAGAGCAGAATAAGTGACTCCTCTATCAATCAGAAAATCAATATTCTGGGGCTGGTGCTGTGGCGCAGAGGGTTAACACCGTGGCCTGAAGTGCCGGCATAACATATGGGCGTCAGTACGAGACTTGCCTGCTGTAAAACCTCAAGGGATACAGATGTGTAAAAAGTTAAAAATGTTCTCCCTGATCGGTGATGACTGACTGAACACCAAGAGGGAAACCTGTTGGAGTGAGGTGGACACTATGGGAAACGGTGGCTTGATCAGCATAGCCCTGACTGTTAATGAACAACTTAATACATTATCCCACTTAGTAGTTTTTTTATCTGTTCTACTTAATATGACTGGTTTAGTTCTGTAATTGATGCACAGTTATTCTTAAGTGTTGAAAATTAACTGAAATGTGATCCCTGTTGCATTGGAGTGGGAATGGGAGAGGGAAGAGATGTATAATTTGGGACATGCTCAGGCTGACTTGCCCCAAGTGGTGGAGTTGGAAGCATACCAGGGAATTCCAATTCAATCCCATCGAGGTTGCATGTACCGATGCCATCTCACTGTTCCAGGTGATCAATTTCAGTTCACAGTTGGTCATGGTGGAGGGACTGGGAGTCAAAGGGAGCACATAGACAAGTCTAGTACCTGCTAACGCTAACCGATGGAGTAAATAAAGGGGAGAGTGATCCAACATGGGAAGTGAGATACTCAGCAGACTCATAGAATGCCAGATGTCCTTAAATAGCACTCTGGCCTCAGAATCAGCCCTAACGGCATTCGGAGCTGGCTGAAAAGCTCATGAGAGTATTTCAGGGCATGGAAAGCCAAGACACTCTGGCAAAAGATCTCTGCGAGTGAGATCCCAGTGGAAGAACAGGTCATCAAAGAAGGGAGTACCTTTCTCTGAAGGGAGGAGAGAACCTCCACTTTGACTATGACCTTGTCTAAACAAGATGAGTCAGAGAACTCAGAGGACTTCGCTAAGCCTTGGAA